AATAGATTGGAGCTTTGTTCCCATTAAACAAACAAACAAACAAACAAACAAACAAACAAACAAACAAACAAACAAATGGTCTGAATCATGAGGGCCCCTGGCCTTTTCTACAGGGCCTTTTGGCCTGCTTCAGGCCTTTTGTCAGTACCCAGTTTCTGGGCCGGTCGAAACTGGTCTCTAGGGCCAAAAAAATACCTCCACAGGAAAAAAAAAAAAGAGAATTAAAAAGAAGTCCAATTTTCTTTTTTTTCCCCCGGGGGCCATTGCCCCATGTTTGTTCTTTTGTGGGGAGGGGGGGCTTGTAAAGCCCAGAAACAATTTGTTTGTGGGTAAAGTACAAGGGAGTACAATGCTGGTTTTGTACTCATGTTGTACAATGCGTTACAATTTCCAATTTTTTTTGTAGGCGAGACATGGCTAAGCTCTGGGTAGCACGCCGAACACGTTCGGTGCGCCCACCGAACGTCGAACACGTTCGGACGTTCGGCTAAGCGGGGACCGAACACGGAATCGGCCCCCCCGAACGTGTTTCCGCTAGCCCACTACTGGGTCCATTTTGGCCATTCCCGGTTGGCAGGGGCCGTGGGGGGGGGGGTCAGAGRGGGGGRGGGGGGGGGAAATTCGAAATCCAAACTGCCCCCCCCACTGGTTCGAGAGAGGGCCAGTTTGGGTGACGGTCGTCCACTGCCGTGGCTGCCCGTCCGTTGTCGCCATCGCGCTGCAAGCAGTCCGCCGCCATCCGTGGGCGCTCGTCCGTCGTCGCCTGCCGTGCCCGCCCGCCCATCCGTCGTCGCCATCACCGTCGCCAGTATGTGTGTGTGTGTGTGTGTGTGTGTGTGTGTGTGTGTGTGTGTGTGTGTGTGTGAGAGAGAGAGAGAGAGAGAGAGAGAGAGAGAGAGAGANGAGAGAGAGAGAGAGAGAGAGAGAGAGAGAGAGAGAGAGAGAGAGAGAGAGAGAGAGAGAGAGAGAGAGAGAGAGATTTTTGTTTTTCTTCTTCTTCTTCTTCTTCTTCTTCTTCTTCTTCTTCTTCTTCTTCACAGTTCTTCTTCTTCACAGTTCTTCTTCTTCACAGTTCTTCTTCTTCTACTTCTTCTTCCGTCCTCCTCCATCATCACCCCTCGGCGCCTTCTTCCGACTTTTCTCCCCAACCAATGTCCCCTCCTCCAGCTCCCGACCCTCTCCTCCTGTGTGTGGTTGCCACGCGAGTGTTTGTGTATGTGTGTGTGTGCGTGTATCATTGTATGTGTGCGTGTGTGTGTGTGTGTTTGTGTGTGTGTGTGTGTTTGTGTGTGTGTAAAGTGAAGGATTCCCCCCCCCCCCCCCCCCCCCCCCCCCCCCCCCCCCCCCCCCCCCCCCCCCCCCCCGCCCAGCCTCAAATTATACGTTCGGGTTCGGTAGGTTTTGCCATTTTGGCCCGTGTTCAGGTTCGGTATTTTATGTTCGGGTTTGGTCACCGAACCCGAACACGGTGCTACGCAGGCTGAGCTCCAAGGATTCGAGTCGTGTTGCCTGGAGGTCCCTCCACCCTGCCCGCACTGACTATGGCATAAGTAAGTACTATGAAGTTAATATGAACAACGACAGAAGTAGCAGGGAAGCTATAAGGGATTCACTTCCCTGACTAGGTAAATTTAAAGCAGAATTGTATCTTACTAATCTTAGTGCTTTTTTCCTCCCAGAAACAGTAGTGGGGAGGCCCAGCTATTTGAGGTGATCCAAGCACCCTGCAAGAGTGGGTTTGCTTTTGTCATGTCACCTGTCTAGTAGTCCGGAGCTGCAACCGCTGCAAACGGGGTTCATTGTCCATTGAGCCTCTTTTGAGCTGAGACCATGGATTGCCCTGAAGCCATGGGATTGGCTTTGTCATTATACAGACCTACTGTCTTCACCCGAATAGAAAGGCAGGTCAGTATTGCTGTAGTTGGGGCAATTTTGAGTCTAGACACAGTGATAATGATGGGGCGTTCCATTCGGCTGAAGACCTTTGGCCTCCAGCGTATCTATACTGCGTAGGTGCATTACTTTTTTGTTGTTTTAAAAAAAAGGGGGTAACTCCAGTAGAGTGAATAGAGTCACGTTCATCTCAGAGAGAGATAAATGTCTAGAAATTTGTAATTAGCGGATGAAAAACTCCGCGGTTAAAAAATGAGTTATAATTGCACTAGGGGTAGTAGGGGGCAAGACACAATTTGTAATTGCATTCCGGGCACCCAGCCTGGCCAGAAAGCTGGGTTGTATACATGGCCCAAACTGCAATTCGAAACTGTATCTTGGCCCCTAGTGCAATTATAACGCGTTTCTGCGACCCCCACGTAGTTTCCCCCCCAAAAAAAGAACTCCGTTGCAGGTAAGGCCACTTACCGAGGTGGACCTGTGTGGAAGACTCCATCTACTGGCGTTATGTGGGCCGTAGACCTCCAGCTTCCCAGTAAAATACATGCAGAGAAGTTTTGGTGAGTTGTTCAGGGTCTGCCCTTTCATAATCTTACTGGTCTTGTCAGCCGGAGGTATTTTCTGAATGATTGTCTTTGGCTCTGGTGTCCAGTTTGTCTTCTCACCCGCCTAGCTTCCACTCATGGCCTAGTTGCACTACTCTTCATCCGTCACAATTCGTGGCGGATGCGTGGAGAGCATTTTGGCTCTGGTGTCCAGTTTGTCTTCTCACCCGCCTAGCTTCCACTCATGGCCTAGTTGCACTACTTGCCATCCGTCACAATTCGTGGCGGATGCGTGGAGAGCAAAAAAAATGAGAATCGTGTCGAACTCGAGGCCTGGTTGCACTTACTCGCCACTATATTTCTTCTACAGAAAGTAAAAAGACATTGTCTACCTGGTTGTAGACTCGTGAAGCCGTGCACTCTCCAGAAAGTTGTTCTGTGGAGAGGTCCGAGGACCACCCTCCACAAACCGGCGTGCACAGGCGGGGAAACCGAAAACACGTGCTACAACTTGTGTCGACGGTGTGGCGAGCCGTCTGACAGATTTCGCATGTGCCAAGTTTGGCGAGTAAGTGCCACCAGGCTTGGCGTATGGCCAGTGGTGCAACTAGGCCCTCATTCGTGGTCCGAATGACTGCATATTTCTGAGAATTTCTGTTGTCATGATCTGCTGGCTTGAGCTTCTGTCTGCCGCCTGCCCATCGGATTCCCATCGTTGCTTTCCGCATCAAGTTCTTGCCGTCTAAGTTGTGTGCCCCTTACAGTGGATGAGTTACCAGACTAAGTGGCACTGCCTTTCCTCCAGTGGGTGGATCTCGCCACATTCTAGTCGAGCTTTCGAGCTTTCTGCCACAGCCAGCTGCAGCTGCAGTCAGGTGCATCCAGAAAAGTCCTAGTGTGAGCATGCTCTGAGAGTGTGAGTGTACAGTATTTGGATCGAGCCTTTTCCACGTCTTCTTATTTCTCAGGAAACGAAAGAAAGAGAGCATTGGTGTGTCAAATACCGCATATCCTACTCCAGTGGTGAAAAGTGTATCAGATGCCATCATTATAATGATTGTGTCCTCCTTATCCTTCTAGCCAACCCCCTGTTGTCACTCAAACTAGGCCATGGGCCATCTGCCATTCGTACTCCAGTGCCTGGATGAACCCCATCATTATCATAGCTTTTGTTCACAACCAGTTTCTACGCCCCACATTGCGTCATATCGGCTTGGAATCCTTTCGAATTGATGGAATCCGATCCAGCTTCTACTGTCCCCTCAGCTCCCATCGGTAGGTAAAGAGGCAAATGGAAGTTGTTGGTCTAGGAAGTGGATGATGCAGAAGGACTAAGCAGTAGCGTCTACTGTCCCCTCAGCTCCCATGGGTAGGTAAAGAGGTAATGGAAGTTGTTGGGCAAGGACGTGAATGATGCCAAAGGACTAAGCAGTAGCGTCTACTGTCCCCTCAGCTCCCATGGGTAGGTAAAGCAGTCATGGAAGTTGTTGGGCAAGGACGTGAATGATGCCAAAGGACTACGTAGTAGAGCGAGTCTTGGTGGAGTTCAGAGTTATTCCTTTTTGCAATTGGTGCGAGTTCCAGTCTTTGCCTTCAGAGCTTCGGGTTCCGTTCTTGGTTCTTATGCCTGGCCCCCCAGGGCCCAGGGACATTTTTGTAAGTCAAGCGCCGGCATCTGCACGAAGGGGTGGATCGGGCCCGTGGGGGGGACCACACCACACAACTCTTGTCAGCTACATAATCAAGGTCGATCAGGCAAGAGAGTAACTTGGGTGGCTCTCGAACCCACAGCACCTCTCCGGTATGCAACAGAATATTAAGAGTGTCACCAAAAAATGGAAATCGGGGATAGCCTACAGTGTAGCTTGTTTCATAAAAACTCTGTCGTCGGAGCGTTTTGTGCCTGGTCTCATCAGAAATATGAATGATATGCAGTCATTCTCTTTTTTCATCCACGTGGCAACGGCCAAGCAGCTAGCCTTTCGTGTATTTATGGGTGAGGGCTACGGCTAGCCCGCGTTGGCTAGGGAAAACAACAGCCCAGTTAGAAAGCCCGGCTTGCTGCAGAGGATCGTGTCGTCCATGAGTCCATCTTCATGCCCAACCACTGGGGTTCTCTTTTTTCACCTCATGTTCACAGGAAGACTTCGGCGGGGGTAATCTGACCACAATTACGGAGACGTGTTTGGTGCAAAAGGTCCCAGTGTCTGTGCGGCCTAACTTGTTGTCGTAGACTCGTAGCGGCGGCGGGTTCTGCATTTCTGCATGGCCCACACAGTCAATGAGGCCGAACGATGCCCGCCGGTAGATGTTGATGAAAAACAGGCCATGAGTTCGATTCTTGTGGAACCAGCCTCGGTATCTTATGGACCACAAAGCTCATCACATAGTTACTGTAGTGAATCCTGGTTAACGTGGGTTTATGTATGGAGGGATAGAACACTGTGAAGTTGCGTCAACTCCAGTCTTGGAGCTGCCGTAGATCTACAGAGAGGAAAGGCTCTATATAACAAAGCACGCACAGAAGGCGTGTCGAAGTAAGAGAGCTCTCGTCGGGCGGAATGTGACAGAAGGAGAAGGAGGAGAAGGAGAAGAGGAAGGGTGGGCGTAGTAGAGTCGCAACCAGCGGTTAAGGCAACAGGGCGTAGTGAACAACTTCAGCTCGACCCCTCCTCCTCCTTGTCCTTTTTTAGCTGTGGTACTCTTACTCCTCCTGCTGCTGCACCTACTTCTCCTCCCTCCCCCCTCCCTATCCCCTCCCTCCCCCCTCCTTCTGCTATCCTCCTGCCCTTACCCCTGCTTATCCTTCACCTACTAATATTTTTCACTTGCCCTTGTTCCCGAACAACCTTTCATCTCCCCTCTCCTATCCCCTCTCCTCTTTCTTCTTGTCCTTTCTCACCAATCGTCAAAGAACACATCTGACGCCGGTGCCTTCCTTCCTCCACCTCCTCCTCCTCCTCCTGTGCTGCTCTTGTGTGTTCTTCACAGGGCCTCCTTCCTAGTAGGACTACAGCGGAGGACACAGCCGAACTCGAGGGTGGGGATGAAGATGTCGAACCCGACAAAGGTGCAGCGTCGCATCTCGTCGGTGCAGACAATGGCGATGCCGTTCTTCTTGTTGCTGGCAATCCTGCTGCATGCGGCTGTGCGGGGAAACGCGCAAGGCGTTCCACGACCGGTTCGCATCACGGCCGTCGTTGCCGCAGGCACCGGTTGTCGTGCTGCAACTGCTCGGCTGAGCCCCGGCGGGAGGTCTTTCAACGTGTCCTTCAGGGCATTCCGGGCATCGACCCCGGGAAGTCCTGTGAACCGGCGGAAAAACTGCCAGGCGGCCGTGGCTTTGTCCTACCCGGCTGGCTGGCAAGTGAGTGTGAGCTCGGTCACAGCAAGAGGGGCAGCTCGCCTCAGCCGGGGTGTTCAAGGCGCGGCCGCTGTTGGTTACTATGTGTCGGGATCGGCCGGGACGGCAAGAGCTCTGCGGAACATCGTGGGCCCGTATAATCGGTGGTATACTTTTACCAGTAGATTGAGTCCAGTCATTTTCACACCATGTGGCGCGGGTGCCAATATCAACGTCAACGTCGAGGTCAGGGTGGTGCCAGGAAGGGCCGCACGTGCATCTGGCGTTGTGAGTATCGGACGTTCGCCAACCACCTTCGCCCTCACTTGGAAGAAGTGCTGAGCAGTGAGAGAGAAGTACGTGTCCCGTCCGACGCAGTCGAGACGAGACGAGGGTGTGCTGTGCGCAGGGGAAGAGACGGGTAGCCCGAGACTTTCTAGAGACGCAGAGCGCCTCCTCCGGGGTACACATTGGAGAAAGACGAGTAAGAAGGGCAGAGTTGAAAAAGATGAAAGAAAATGGTCGCACTCGTCCCTTTTGTTCGAGGAGGAGGTGGACGGTACATGGTGGCAAATGCGATCACATGCATTCACGATAGCTTTCGACACGACGTCGTTGTGGTTCGCCTCGACCCCGTTAAGGGTGGGCATGTGAAAACCACCGTGCGATCGATGGCTTGACTGGACACGTGGCAGTAACGTGGGACTGGAGAGAGAGAGAGAGAGAGAGAGGGAGATAGAGAGAGAGAGCGCACGAGAGAGAGAGAGAGAGAGAGAGAGAGAGAGAGAGAGAGAGAGAGAGAGAGAGAGAGAGAGAGAGAGAGNAGAGAGAGAGAGCGCACGAGAGAGAGAGAGAGAGAGAGAGAGAGAGAGAGAGAGAGAGAGAGAGAGAGAGAGAGAGAGAGCAAGAAGGATGGAAGCCTCGAGGAGGCGCATTTCAACCACAATCATACCAGTCAGCGACGCGGAACGACTTCCTTCTCCGCATCCAAAGAGTCGAAGACGCGCCAAATTGCTCCGACTTGCGTGGCGGACTCCTTCATCGTCATAACTACTATGCGTATTCATCTTCAAGAGCGCTTCCCACATAGCACCTAGCATAGCACCTCTCGTAAATAGCACTTCGCATACCATCCTACCTCTTGATCCGCCGCCGTGTGCAAGCTTCTTCGATAGCCAGCCAGTCACATTTGACTCTGCTCATCACATCGGAAAATTTAATTGCTTCAATCAACCCAGCCCACTTCGTTTCCCACATAGCACTCACATAGCACTCACATAGTACCTCGCATAGCATCACGCCCAGCACCTCACACGGTACTGACGTAGTAGCACTTGGCATAGCTAATCACATAGATGGCTACCCACATAGCAACTCACATATTCACCTAGCAGCTGAGGTCACATTGTCTAATGCCAGCTCGTATAACAGATCACGTCGTTGCTTCCTATCCTTTAGGTGAGGTCGGAGGTGCTGACCAAACGCTCTCAGATTCCGGCACAATGAGGGGGGGACACGGATTAAGATGAACAAAGAAAAAAAAAAAAGAGCAACTCGTTCAGAGGCGGATATACATCAAGTGCGCCGTTCGGCTGGTGAAAGAGCGATGGTGACGTTCTCAATCAAAGATACTGCTGTCGTCTCAATCAAAGATACTGTTGTCGTCGGGCAAAATTGGCATTATAATGTTCTATAGAATCTATATACTATATAATAATATATTGTCTCCCCGTCTCTTGCTTGTCAATGATCTGAATGCCGCACCTTTTATTTGTGTCTTTGTTTGTTTTTTCTTAATTCGTTATTTTGAGCCCACTAAGCCGCGAAGACAGCGAGGGACAAATGAGTTGCAAATACTACCCTCTTCACCCGAATAGAACGCAGCCTCGGTAATTATCGCTGCATCTGGACCGAAAGTTGTGCCAAATTATACAGCTATAAAGCCTATAATGACCGGGCGTTCTATTCGGGTGAAGACGGTAGGCCGAAAATAAAAGCAGGTAGCAGCAGGTACTTAACTCACGCACGTCGCACACCGAGTTCGAAAAGGCAATCATAAAAGCAGCACTGTGACAGAAGTTTCTAATAAGCCCGGATATTCTATTTTAAACTCAAACCATGCAGCCTCAGGCGTACTTGACACTAAAGTCTTGTTTGTGATTTTTTTTTTTTTTTTTTTTTTTTTTTTTTTTTTTTTTAATAGAGAGAGCAGAGCTGAAACTCCGGGATCCAACTTCCAATTGTCGGGGTCCTTCATTTCTGATCCTGCACCGAAGAGATGGACGGTCAGAAATGAAGAAATGAGGAATTCTTGCGTGACACTGTGGACTCCGCACGGGAACGGACGAGCAGGCTGGTTGTGGGTTGCCATCGAAACAGGAATTTCAAAGAGAGAGGGTCAATATCAGAAGTCGTTTCAGAAAGAGGAAAAAAAACAGGACTGAGCAAGGGCCAAAGAAATTAACTAAACTTTGTATAATAGATGGCGCAGCTGGAGGCTATGCTCGTATCAACCCCTCTAGTAGACAGCTATGGCTTAAAAAAGAAAAAAAGAAAAAAAAGCTACTACTAGCGGGGGATGCTCGTATCACCCCCTCTAGTAGACAGCTATGCCGCCCAGACTCCATGTACACTCTCCAAATTGGGGTCCACAGAGAGTGAGTGCCTTGAAAGACTTTCCACATAAGAAACTTTGCAGCCTGGGAACTTATATACAATCGGGGAGGCGCAAGCATCTACTCTTTATGAAATCTTAGGTGTCGAGGTGTGGGTGTTTTCTTTTTTCTCTTTTTTAAAGTTTTTTTTTGGTTTAAGCCCGTGGCATATCAGATCGAGGTGTGTTTTTGAAAAAAAAAAAAAAAAAAACAGATCAAGGTGTGGATCACATGTTCGTAACAACAACCAAAGCCCTCTCTGCACTACTGCTGTCCACTATACAAAACCGGACAGTGGGATGTCTCTCTGGGCCGCGCTCCACTACACAACACTGTACATGCATTTGGACGCTTTAAGGACCAGGTGCATTCGGAAAACTCCAACGTTGTGAACGCATCCGGTCAGGAAAGCGCACAAATGCATGTACAGTGTTGTGTGGTGGAGCGAGGCCCTCTATTTACTGTCCATCCGATTTCTGACTACTGTCCAATTTTGGGCCTCGCCACACAGACTTTCGAAACATGCAAACGACAAAAATGTTGCGAGTGAATCTAGTCGTTTTCTAGCAAAAAGTTCATTCTCTTTTTGCACGTTTCGAAAGCCTGTGTGGCGAGGCCCTTTGTATAATGGACAGCAGTAGTGGAGAGAGGCCCTTGGTTGTTGTTATGAGCATGTGATCCACATCTTCATCTGGTATGCCAGGGGCTTGAAACAAAAAACAAAATAAAGAAAACACCCACACCTTGACACCGAAGATTTCATAAAGAGTAGATGCTTGTGCCTGACCATATATATACATATTTTTTCCAAGGCCAGAAACGGTGGTTTTTTTTTTTTTTTTTTYTTYCCCGGAAAGCCAAATTGYAAGCCCACTATCCTGGKGGSGGTWMGARAACCATTAGGATTAAAAAAAAAAAAAAAAAAAAAAAAAAAAAAAAGGGGATTGAGGCCTTGCCTGTGGGGTTGCTCCATCTTCGTAACTTTTGTATATACTAAGGTCCAAACTGGGATCGGGACGGGCTGGATCAGGGAATGACTGGGTACCAATGGGAGTCTCCCTATTGTCCAAACTGGGATAGGGACAGGCTTGACGTCTGGGTACCAATGGGAGTCTCCCGATTGTCTGACGCGCCTGCCCTGCGCGTCCGGGAATCGTTTCTATTTTAAATCAGGGGTAACTTCGGCGCGGTCACGAAAACAGTTTGAAAATGCACTTCAGGCAATCCCGCCAACACAACACACCCCCAGGTCACCCCACGGGACCCAAAACCTAAGGTTATATACATTCAGTATTACAGGCCCTTTCGCCTCAACAAGTGCATTTTCAAACTCAAACCCTGACTGCCCTGTAGTTTTCTCTGTAGGTAATTCTTGTACTCTTTTCGCTTGCCTGCGATGAGCAACCGAACTGGTGGCCCCCAGAATAGAAGGGGCTGCATGACTGTGAAAGAGAGAAAAACAAAAAGAAACTAATGCAGATGCAGCAGGTTTTGAGTTTGGAAAGGCAATCCAGCGGCCTAGCTCAGTTGGTACGGCATGCAAGTGGCATTCAGGAGGTCTTGGGTTCAATCCCCATAATTGGCCTCATGCACCTTCCTGGCCAAGCTTGGCACCTGCTTGGTTCCCCCAAGTGGCATTGAGCAGAGACTGCAGATGTTCATAGGGGGAGGGGACCGGAGGGGAGGCACAGTGACGGCCCATCGACGAAGCTCGGTCCTGATACCACTGTCTGGCCCCTGGCCGGTATCGCCTACCTGCTGTAGCAGGTATCGCATATGCTGGTGGGTGCAGCTCCCACATGTTCCCTCATTGGAGGCTTGAGCGCGGATGTGGCTGCTATGGGGTTCCCCCAACTTCCCCGTAATACTATAATGACAATAAAAATGGCTGCTCTGGGGTTACCCGTAATACTATAATGACAATAAGAAAGGCCTGAAAGGCCGTCCTGTCCACATTGGACAGGTAATTGAATTGGTTGGGCGCCTTTAAAAAAAAAAAAAAAAAAAGCGCGAGATGGCACTGTCCTCCTGGTCGGAGTCACAAACAGCAATTCCAGTCCAAATAGATCCGTTCTCCCTCACTAAATGGCACTGCCCTCCTGGTGGGAGTTGGAAACAGCAATTCCAGTCCAAATAGATCCGTTCGCCCTCTCCCCCCCCCCCCTTCTTTTCGGTCTGGCACCATGGCCTGCCCCTGTAGTTCTGATAGCAGTCCGTCTGTCGCAGTCGCGGTATTTTCATTGCTTTTTTTCCAAGTCGGTGGCTCTCGGTGGCTGTTTCTTTTGCCGGTGAGTGTTTTTTTTCCCTATTCCGAACTTTGTTCTGACATCAACGTACTTGCCTCTTTATCTTTTTCTTTCCCTTTTTAAGGAATGCTATCCCCTAAGCAGCATTGGCCGCGAGGGGGAGGTCTATGGGAGTCGTTAGACACTCCCGAATCCTCTGGGATTTTTCAGGTTTTTTTAGGCTTCGTTCCACCTGTCCTCGGAAAATCTCTCCGAGGCCGAATCCTCGGGGCCCTCCCCCGTGCCGTTTGATGAGATTATACACGGCCACGGGGGATTGTCCGACCTCCGATTTGGGATGTCCGTCGACGAGATGTGGTGGTCCAGCAGGCAGACGGCGGCAATACGGCAAGGGCCCTGGAAATAAAAATCGCAAACGCGGGAATGGCCCCTTTCGAAATTCGAAATTGAAGGTTGCGGGACGACGGTGAGGCTGCGCACAGGCGGGTTATCGACGGGCCAGTGGACACAGCGCAGGGTTTGCGGATGGTTTGGGATGCCATCACCATGCGTACTTCAGTGGAGACGCACGACCAAGCTCTGAAGTATAGTTGGCGCAGCAAACTGAAGAGGGATATCATCGTCTACGCTCGGCACGTGGAGGCGAGCGACAGTTCCACACAAACAGCGGCGGCGGGCGGACGCTTCGATCGGGGTAGAACAACGTTCAGCGGGGGTGTCGGTGCGCGAATTGCAGGCGTGTCACCGTTATGGTCGTGAAGGTGGACGCAGGTGGGCGGTGGTGGACATTCGCTTTCTGGTTGGAAGGGCGCGATGGAGGGTTGTGGTGGGGATGGCCGTGCCATGTTGTCGACGACGGAGAAGACAGCAGCCGTGGCGCTCGCCATGGTCATCCGAAGCCAACTCGAGCGGGCGACAGGGCGCATGAAGGTGATGCTTTCGAGGCTACGGTAGAGGCTTCTGGCGCAAAGGGTGGACTGCATTAGCACTTCGGAGGTCGTGGTTCAGCTGTGCACTGCAATCAGGTGCAGTGTGCTTTCTCAGGCTGTGACGCCCAACCTCACGCCCGGCGCGACTTCCTGATCGGAGTATGAGTGGGCCTGGAAGTGCGGAAAGGGGTGTGCCAAGGATTCTAGGAAAGTGGGGGTGGAGTCCCAGGTCGGAACTGAGATCTCCTGTGGCAAGCTCTGGGATACGGATGCAGGAGGGCGGGTATAGACTGGAGTTCTGTTCTGCTTCGGGGAGCGGTATTTACCGCCTACGTTGGTTTCGTCGTCCGGGTCGGGGTCGTATCTCGTGCGCCGGCGGGACGCTATGGCTATCCCGCTGATTCGTCACCTGCCGACGTCGAACGTCGCAAGTCTCTGAGTCTGATGCGGCTGGCCTTAATCGCAGGCTGTGCGCCCGTCATTCTTCCTCTGAGCGAGTTCGCCGGATGAAGCCAAAGGCTCGGTACTCGTGGTTCCGCAAACACTCTGAGCACGGGGGTTGGGGCAAGTGAGGAGCGATTGCAAGCCAGGGGACGATGGTTAGGGAGTGACAGGGTAGGATGCGGTGATAGGGAGGGAATTCGGTCCCTAACATAATAATTCCGGCTTCCGTGAGGACGTGACACGTGTATGGGCTAGAGTAGCTGGGGAGATGGGGGTTGCGTCCCAAGGCCTGGTCGAGGTCCCACTCGCAAATACATTCGTTCCCGTCAGGTAGGAAAATTCTGGAGGTTTCGCCCACGATCAGGCAGATAAACAAGAGTGCTCCTAATAC